TTTTTTTTTTTTTTTTTTATTCGACAGAGAGAGACAGAGTGAGAGAGGGAACACAATCATGGGGAGTGGGAGAGGGAGAAGCAGGCTTCCCGCGGAGCAAGGAGCCCGACGCGGGGCTCGATCCCAGGACCCTGAGATCATGACCTGAGCCGAAGGCAGACGCTTAACGACTGAGCCACCCAGGTGCCCCCCATGATCTCAGGGTTCTAAGATTCAGGCCCGCATCGGGCTCCATGTTGGGCATGGAGCCTGCTTAAGATTCTCTCTCTCCCTCTGCCCCTCCCACACCTCAAAATAAATAAATAAAATAAAATAAAATAAAATATACAACAGTAACAACATGAATGTGAAGGGGATAAATGGGCAGAGTGTTCTAAGTTCCCTTTATTGTCTTAGTACAGAATAAAGATATTGATCAATTTCAGACTTCCATTAAGTCAAGAAAGCATGTTAAAATTTTTAGAGTACTAAAAGAACAGAAAATATAATGTATACCTTCCAACCAAGAAGAGGGGAAAAATGGAATAAGAAAAAATAACCCCAAAAGGACAAGAAAGGAAAATAAAACAGAAAAGGCAGGACAAATAAAAAGCTCAAAATAAGGTGGCATACTGAAAACCAAATATGTCTGTAATCACAATAAATATAAATAGATTTTAAAAGCTCCAGTTAAAAGACAGACTGGCTGACTAGCCAAAAAATCAAAATCCTACTATTTACAAGAAATTCAACTTTTTAGACAAGACTAGGTAAATGTTGAACATTAGAAACAGAGAGGCCAAGAACACCAACCAAACAAAAGCTGGTATAGCTATATATAGCTAATAGCAAATATAAAATAAAGCAGATTTTAAGGTTAAAAAAAAAAAAGCCACCATAAAGAGGGTTACTACAGAAGGTTCAACCAACCAGGACACTATAGTAGTTCAAAATTTGTACACACCTGATAACGTACCCACAAAACAGATAAAGCATAAAGTAAACACTAGAAGAACTACAAGCAAAAACAAACTTATAATCATAATGGAACCTACAGGGGAAAAACAATTTGAGTAACACCAAACTTCTCAAAAGAAACCCTGGAAGCCAGAAGGAAGTTACACTACATTTTACAAGTGCTTAAAGAAAAGAACTGTCAACACCGAATTCTATATCCAGCAACTATCCTTCAAGAATGAAGGGAAAATAAAAACATTCTTGGATGATGGAAAACTAAGAATTTGTTGCCAGATGACCTACCCTAAAAGAATGACTAAAAGAAGTTCTCTAAAACAGAGAGGAAATGATGATAAAAGGAATCTGAAAATCAGGAAGAAAGAACTGAAATGGCAAAATGTGGGTAAATACATCTGAATTTTCTAATTATGTTTAACAGTTGAACAAAAATTTTAACACTAATTCATTCTCAATGAATGTAAATATTTAAGAAAATATTATGAATGATGGAGGCTAAAGGGATATAAATTGAAGTAAGGTTTCTAAATTTCACTTTAACTTGTGAAATGTCTAGTGGGGTAAAGGACAGAGGAGGTGGATCTCAGAAAGTATCCATGAAACCACATTTTTAAAAAAATGCTCTGCATCTATTTATTCAGCTCTCTAAATCTGGCTTTTCAAAGTAGTCTAGTAACCATGCTTTTACTTAAGACCACTAATGAGCTCTCCTCTCAACGTTTATGCTGTACTATCTTTCATCTCCTGTTGTTAGGGAAACCAACCTAGTAACTCTCCTACATTTACGTATACTTTTTCTCTTGATTTCTATCTTCTACTCATCCCTTATTTTTGTGTTTCTCAAAGTCTGGGCCTCAAACCATGTGCAATGGAAACACCAGAGCCCCACTCCAGACCTACTGATTCAGAACCCCTGGGTATGAGTTCCAGGGCATCAGCTTTTGAAAAAGTCCCCCCTCCCCCCCAGATGATTCAAGTGTGAGAATTGTTTTAAATATTCACCCACAAGGTTCTGTCCTTGGTCCTTTTCTACTTCTACCTGTTACACATGCAAAATTAAAGCCACACCCAAAACTTCCCCCACTTACTGCTATCAATTGGATGTGTAAGCTGCCTACCATCCACCCCTCCCCCAGACAGCACCTATAATCCTACCTGACACACAGAATATTTATTTGAATGAGCATGATGGCTCTCAAACCTGCTTTGTCAACTAAGACCTATCTCTTTTGGGCTCCATACCTGCATGTGCAGCTATCCAATGGACATGTTCACCTGGTATCTAAAAGTTACCCTGAATTAGTTAGGATTAAATTCAGCTAACAGTAACAGAAAAACCTAAAAGAATAATGGTTTATATAACATAGAAGTTTATTTCTCTCAAATAACAGTCTGGAACAGGCCAGTATGAAAATTCTGCTCCACAGAATTCTCAGGGATTTTGGCTTATTTCTGCTTTTCACTCCACTATACCTAGAATATGGTCCCCATTTCATTGTTCAAGATGGAACTCCACCCAAAACAAGCACATAACTAGCATCAGGATAGAAGCAGGAAGAAGGAAGACAGAAGGGTACATTCATCTCTAATATACTTCCTATAAGTAGAACATACTAGCTCTACTTTTATCCCGTTGACCAAGACTTAGTCTCATGGCCATATATAACTGCTAGGGAGGCTGTAAATATAGCCTTCATGGTAGGCAGCTGAATTGTGTTACTAAGAAAAAAAGGGATACCAGATAGTGTAAAACAACAGCATTCTTGTTCATGCATTCCAAAGTCATCATGTTCCAAACTGAACTACCTCGTTTTCAGGGTAAACTGTGCGATTTTATACCTTTGTGAAGTGTCCACCCTATCTTTATCTCTATTCTGCCTGGCAAACTCCTCTCTTAATACATCATGTGTCTTTCTGTTAAGCATTCCTTTACCCAACCGATTTTCCCTCCAGCCTAAACAAACTGGATGTCTTTGGGCCACTTTCGTATCTAGCACACGTCTCTATTTTTGCACTGATGATTCTGTATATATACATATTTTTTTTTAAAGTCTATTCTTCCATTTATCCCTCTAACTCCTTGAGGGCAGAGACTGCCTTAGTATCATACACACATAGATCTGGAGCATATTAAATTTTACAAAAATCAGCCATTATTATCTACTTCCTAGAATTATGGCAGCAGGCAACTGGTAAAATACGTCCCTAATAAAAAGGACATCACGGTATGTAGTATTGTAATATAATGGAATGTGTTAAAGTCCCAAATCAAAAAAGAAAGCAGTTACAAGAATATGGCTGTATGCTTTTATCTAGCCACTGCTCTCATCTTACACACATTACTTACACATTTTCTACACTCATCTTTTTTTCTGGTATAAATAAATTTTAGTTGGATAAATTTTAAGTATGTTTACATTTGATTCTACTAATAAGTTTATATTTAACTTAAGCCAATGATTAGGTTCTATGCTTAGATCCCACTTAAATTTCAGCAGTTATTCCATCACAGAAGACCAGGTTAGGCATGTCTAAGCTCTTGGAAGACACCTAAGGAACCTCAATATTTTGATGATTTTTTTCTGAAAGAAAATATCTAGATGATCATAGAATTCAACTTTAAGAAGCACAGCATTACAACTGATAAACACCTGACTATAATAACATGTTAATCTATGATGGTTTCCGTAGTCTAAAATTTTCACTGACATGGGCGCCTGGGTGGCTGTCGGTTGAATGTCCAACTCTTGACTTCAGCTCAGGTCATGATCTCAGGGTTATGAAATCGAGTCCCATGTTGGGCTCAGAGCTCAGCGGGGAATCTGCTTGAGATTCTCTCCCTCAGCCCCTTCCCCAACTCATGCGCACGTTCTCTCTCAAATAAATAAATCTTTTTAAAAAATAAAGTAAAAATTTCACTGATGGGTAGATTTTACTTAAGACTATCAAACTATCAATTTAACTTGAAAAAACTGACCAAAATTGTGCAAAACACATATATAACAGTTGTTACACCTTACCATTTAAAAACTACCTTTGAGATATAAACAATGGAATACTATGTATAATTTTAAATTGAATATCAACTATAGAGATAGCTAAGCACCCCAAAATGCTTTCAGTAACAAGACTTCAATGGTCCAAGTGTGACTTGTAGCTTGCCCATATTCTCCAATGTGGACTGTCAATTCAGATTATGATGCTGAGCTGGCCGTCAAAAATTCTAATCATTGCCGTCTTCTACCTTCAGTTCTCTAGCGTAGGCAGTGCCCTCCCTGTTCTGTCTGCTGTTCCAGCTGAGCAAGAAGTCCTAACCTCAATGCCAATAGCAGTTAGATCTAACTTTAATAAAATAAAAGAACATGTAGTTACTTATTATCTTACCATGAGTTCCAGGTGGTTGTAATACATCTCCTGTCAGGCGACACCACCCAACTGGGAAAATATCTCGACAATCGTACTTGCACCAGTAATCAAAAGCTCCACTCCAGCCATCAAATGTGATATAAACTTCATCTCCTCTAACATCTCCAATAGTTGCAGGGCAGATCAGATAAGGGTTCTTTTTGTCTATAGCTTCAAGTTTCATTCCCACTTTAAAATTATTTAGAGGTGGCTTTGGTGGTTCCTACCAAAACATTTTAAAAAAAAGTTTTTTGTTAAGATGTAATAAGAAGCATTTGTTCAACTGTATCTCACAACTTTTAGCAACCAAAAATTAAACTCCATGTTTATCAATTAAATACAGGAAGAAAACAGTTCTCAGAAGTCTCTCTGAAACTCTGCTCTACATCTCACTTACTCTGGAGCAGAGCCAAGAACCTGGACGGAAACAAAACCAGACTGATAGTAATTCATTCATTCATCTAAGAAATATGTGTTATATAGTATGTACCAGAAATTTAGGATTAATTAGTGAACAAAAAATAACAAAGATCTCGGCTCTGGTGGAGCTTACCTTCTAGTGGTGGGTGGTAGTAGCGGTTGGGTGCGGGTAAGGGAAAAAGAGAGAAGCAATCAACAAGAAATTTTAAAAGAGGGAATCACACAAACCTAATAAATGTATAAATTATAGGGTATGTTGAAAGCTGGTAAGTCCAAAGAGAACGAACAGCAGCATATATTATCTAAAAAAACAAAAAAAGAAACCACCTCCAAGTATAAAATGCAGACACAAGAACATGAAAGTCATATAGTCTGGGGTCATTTATGATATCCAATCCAGAAACCAATATTAAAAAAGCATCCTTTAGTTATAAACATCTAAAGCATGCAAATGCTAACAGGATTCTTAAAAGCCTAAGTGCTATGTTAAAAGCAACACCTTTTCTTTCAATTTGCTTTTTATCCTAGTAAATAGCACCATCATCAGCCCAGTCATCCAAGCCAGAAGCCTGGAAATAGTCCTAGACCAGGGGTTATCAGCCCAACTAAACATCAAAATTACTTGGGGCCACACCCCCAGGATATTGATTTAATTGGTCTGGGGTGGGGCCCAGGCATCAGCACATTTTAATTCCCCAGGTGATCCTAATGTGCATCCAAGGCTGAGAACCACTGCGCTAGACACATCCTTTTCCCGCAACACTCACATTCAAAGACCAAGACCTGCCAATTCTATCCCTTAGATTCCTAGGATAACAACATTAAAAGTTAACCTTCAATCATTTAGTATAAGCCAGGCACTGTTCTAAATGTTTTCCATATATTTAATTCTCCCAACTCTATAAAGTCAATGCAATTATTATCCCCATTTTATAGATGATAAAACTGATGCACAATTGCCTAAGAATATACCAGAAGTATCAGAGCTAGATTTTAAACGTAGGCGACAACTCCTTGGAACATCCTACCACATTCACCTGCTTGGACAACTCCAACTGATCCACTTCAAAGCCCAGCTCTCCTGGTCTCTTTAAGGCTTCCCCGGCCAACTCCTGCCCACTCCTACACCCCCTCAAAGGAGGTGCTCTTGCCTTCAACTGCAAAAGTACTCTTGAAATGTGTTTACTCCTCTGAGGCTCAGGGATTCTCAAAAGCAGATATATCTTATTCATATTGTTATTTCCAGCAGAGTACTCAACAGCAAGATCTTTTTTAAAAAAAAAAACAAAACGAATTAACCAAGTAATCACCTGAAGAAGAGTAAACAAGCTTTCAACTAATTCTTTCACCAAGATACAATCTAAAAACATACTGGTGGGTTGATTCCTTTTTTAAAATGCCCCCTTTAGGGCGCCTGGGTGGCTCAGTCGTTAAGCGTCTGCCTTCGGCTCAGGTCATGATCCCAGGATCCTGGGATCGAGTCCCGCATCGGGCTCCCTGTTCCGCGGGAAGCCTGCCTCTCCCTCTCCCATTCACCCTGCTTGTGTTCC